CAAAAGACGTGGTTGACAAAATTAAACTCAAAATATCCTAGTCTCGTCGAAATTGTGTCTAATGAATTAATAGTCAAACAGGATTTTGTTACAGAGAAGGAAGAGTCAAGTTTGATAAGCGAACTTGATTCTGTACTTTGCAAACGAAAGTACCAAACAAAGCACTGGGACTATGTAAGTTATTCAAATATTTGCTTTTTGCACTGTTCGAAATGGCTCCTACCTTTCAAAAAATGAAAAAGTTTTGAGACACTAGATTGCAATTGCCATCTAGATGACGTTTCATTAGCTCTAAAAAATTAATATACGCTACTTTATCTAAGGCATAAAGAGAAAATGAACTTGTTCGACGCTTACACCGCTTCCAGTCATTTGGGCTATTGTGAATAAACAGCCATAGTAATGAAATAATCGCTCTGTTGATCTGGGCTTTTGTTTTTAGTCGTAACAAAGTCTTAATCATTCTTGAAATAATTAAGGCTCTCAGAAGGCTTTTGGTGCAATGGGTGCTTGTTTTTCTTTGCTTATTCCCTATCCTAGTTTTTCTTGATTCTGCGCTCTTTTTATCCATCTAGTTTGCCATCTTTCTTTTGGTATAACCATATTCAATCAACTGTTTTCCCTTTGATTTTGTAGATGTGGAAACCTTTACTGGGCTGTAGGTTGTTTACATCTGAGGCTGAGTTTATCCACAAAAATCACGCATGTTTTAAACCCTTAGAGCTTAGAAAAGAGAAAAGTTTATTGTAGTTTATTACTTTCCCAAATTTTCCTCGTATTTGGGTTTTCATTCCTCTTGGTCTGAGACACCCCGTATCAGTGTACAGTATTTCAAAATCCCTACGTCGCTAATTGATTTATGAATCCAAGCTAAACAGCTAGTCCTAACTGTAAAATTTATATTGAGAGTTGATTTTAAGCTTAATATCTTCCTACAGTTTTAATGTGGCAATAGTGAGAAGCCGATCTGGTTACTTTACGTTCAACCATTCGATTGTGATTGCTGTATAGTAATATTGGGTGGTGCAGTAGCTTATTGGTTAATGGGTATTTATTTATTTGTTTAGACATAAGTATTAGTACATGGGGGCACCAAATATATGCGCCACACTTTGCCACGAAATTTGTGTGAGGGATGAGTTTCTGTCCGGGCGCCCAAACAAAACATAATTTTTTTTGGGAGGACACCCTGAACCTTTGACCTCAAGGACTAATCCACAAGGCAGAGGAGCAACGTAAGGAGATGGAGTCTCATGGTAGCAGGTGACCAGTAATTGGTTCATACGTCGTTTGCTTCCTTAGGATCCTGGAATCTATGTGCACCATTGGTTTGGAATCAGGGTTTTCCAACTCCCCTAGGTCGATCCTGCACACCCACCAACCAGGTTAAAGCACTGGCTATTCGCTTATTGTCCTGTCATTTTCGTAAACAACACTCCTACCGCAAGAAGGTATTGAGTAGGACTTCCTGACAGTGGCTATGTACGCGTAGCCATGTGGGAGCATATTGAGAATGAGAGTTAGCTTTCCTCACTCCCGGTTGTACCAGGGCATTTAGAGGCATTACATATAGACACTATTTATTACTTGTTTTGTCCTAGGATACCGTTATAATTGAAACCTTACTTGAACAGTCAGTCTATTTTAAATTGGGATTTCTATAATTTTTCTATGCATTCCTGCACAAGTTTTGTATATTCTCCGAAATGGTATTTCTTTTTCTCTATATTTCTTCCAGGCTATTAAGAATTTTCGTGAGTTGGAACGCAAAAGTTGGCATTCAACAACCAACCAGCTTGTTATCAGTCGATTGAAAGCATCAACTACTGTAAGCAATGGTTTAACAGCATCAGCAACGGCTATGGAGGCAGATGTTGCAAATATTGACCAATTAGTACTTCCATTAATTCACGTTTTGGATTTAGCTGAAAATGGGGAGATAATGGCGCATGTGGATAGCGTTAAAGTATATTGTGATGCCATTTTTACCCATACATTTCTATATGTTTGGCTTTAGCTTTCTTTCTCACTCAGTATTTTAAATTAATGTATGGTGAGATTGTTTTTCAAACTGTATTGCATTAATGTATCGCATAGGTTTCTGATAAACTCCATCTCTTCATTAGATTATCTTAGAAATCTCAGTCGTATCTTCCACTTCAATCTGGTGGGCTGAGTTACATTTCGTGATGACCTTGTTGAGCTTAATTAGCCGAAGTACTTGTTCTTTTATGTGATCGCAGACTTGCTAGTTTGAGAGGTGTGAGAACAAAAGTAGCAACATGAGGTCTGATAACGAAGTCATACTGATGACTGTACTGGAGTGTGACATCGGTAGAATGCTTCCGTAAGAAAACCAGTATATGGATCTATGTTACTTCATGAAATCGGAAGGAGTTGGAAAAGATCAATCCTAAGGGAACCAAATGTCACGTTGTCTCACGGACTTCCACTATTGGTGGTAAGGCCTCAGAAGCACGAGGCTAACAGAAAAGTAGTCACAAAACCCCATATGATCATCATGAGACAGTTGTCCTTTGGTCCCTGTGGTCAGGCTTTTATATCGTCAAGACCTCAACTTATTCGGTTTATTTTTGAGTTGTCTAGAGAAGAGGTCTTGCTTTGTATGGCCAACCAATAAGCGGCAAACGTTATCATTCCTGTAAAGGCACTCAAGGTCACCATGTTGACTGTCTCATGCATGTTAGGTTAGTTGTTTTTTCCTTGTAATAACTCAACTCGGTAGAACTCAAAATTTTCATGTTGTTTATTTCCAGTTCTGTGGGGAGTCAATCGCTGTGCTAAGTTTGTTATCTGATTCAATTTTACGTTTAGCTGTCGCTCCACAAAGTGAAGTAGTGGGTGTTCCACAAGATCAGTATGATTATTTAAATTCACTAAACTTACCACCGATTGGTTCATGGATAGATATATTTATACCTAGACGATCCGTGTATATTATGCGTGGTGCACTACGCTACTTATTAACACATGCTATTTTGTCTAATGAACAAGTCGATAAAATACGAAATGAACAGTCGATTGATTTATATAATTTACACCGTGGACGACGTGTATCGGTTATTTGTCGTACACATTCAGTCTGTAATCTTATTCCTTATTATAATAATGTTGAAGCGTCATCGAATGATGTAAATACTTAATTTTATGCAGTTGAAGTTAACTGTATATATGCACGTACATGTGTACTTAATTGTACTCTAATTGTTATTTTGAACAATATAATTATTCTCACTAATTTTATATTTTGCTTTTAGTGGATTTTGTGTTTGAATTCTTGTCCCATATATTTAAAAAATTGTGTTATAGCAGATTTTTTTAGAAAGTATTTGAAGGCAATTCATACCACGGAATGACAAATAGCTATGTAAAACCACTGGTAAGGCCTAATAAACGACTATTTGGTTTGAATATATGCAACTCAGAGATATGCATCCACAACCCTCTAAAAGAGAGTGGAATTCAGGACTTTTAGAACGTTCAGCGAATATGTTGTATTTTGTTACCATTGAATAATTTACAATCTCAACTTCAGTCACTTCTCGTTAAATTGTGTGACTATTGTCTAGTGGTGAGTTGTATGTTTGTAGCAAGGTGCATCAATTTTGAATTTGGTCACTGATGGGGTCATGTTGGTCCACATTGCTAGTTAGTTATTTAGTAGGATAAAGCAACTGGATTATTTCGTAATTTTTGACGGTTGTGTTATCAGTTCATGCAGCCATTGATTTTCGTTCCCAAGCATTCGGGATACCCGGACTACCTGGTTTGGATCCGCGTGATAACCACGATCAGCAGTTGAAAAACATTCAGTAACATGACTCGAGATCAGTCACAAAGGGGCAGATGCATTCACAAGTTATTCTTTTCCTAGATCTTCAGTCCCAATATTTCTTTAGTGTATGTCTTTTTGAATCATATCTCCAATGTTTAGTCTTTGCGATTACCATTGATGGTACATTATTTCGATTCCCTTGACATTCATTTTTTAAAATTCATCTCGTGGTAATCCGGTGTAATAGGTTAGGCTAACACACGTACCATGATTTACTTTAACCACGACTAACTGATCAACTTAAATCTGTTTATAATCCATGTTATCTTCTAATTGTCCAGGTTTTTACAAAGACTTTGTTATAATCTCTCTATTACGATTATTACCCAGCTATTCCTATTGCTTAGTATTCTCGGACACCGATTCACTCGACATGTCCCCAAATCAGAACACGATTGAACAGGAAAGAGATTATATTCCAAATTACAAGGTTACATGGAAGTAAGAAGCACAATAGGAAAAACGTTAGTTTATTTGTAGTTTTTACATGAGAAGATTCTAGAGTATTCTCCAAGTACCGACTAGTGCTGATTAAATAAGAATTAGCCAATCAGCGTGCATTAAAGCAATCATGCATTGAGCATGCTTTAATCCAGTCTATGTCCCGCTAACACCTCCCCTTTGAGCAGATTCATAGGATCTGGTGTGTCGAGGACGCTTACGCTTCTTCTTGGGCCGAGACGTACGATTTGGTGGACAATCACTTTGTTTATGTCCACGTCGGTTGCACACTCGACATTTATGCTTCTTAAATCGACACAATCCGACATAGTGCCAATCACTACATAACCAACATGCAGTCGTTGGTTTGTTGAGAGTTGTTATCGGCCTCTGAACTTTTAACCTAGTAATAGCATTGACACCACTGCAGGTTAAATTAAGATTTGCCTATTCAACCAACTCATTATCGTGTCTGATGCTTTGTAGCCGCTTACACTCATCTGTCAATGTTCTGAGTGTGATGTTTGGGTCTTGATCCAGTCGAGTCAAAAGTCTAGTCCTGATTTCAGCATCTTGTGGTGACCAAAGAGCTTTGATGAATATTAAACATTTAAATTGGTCTTCTGTCAATGAGCGTAACTTGAACCGTTCACATTCTCTGTTGACAATGTCTGCTAGAACACCATATTCATCGGCTTCGCGTTTCACCAAATTTAGACACCGATATCGAATACTAAACAATGAGGATGACTCACCGAATATCTCTGACAAATGCGTTGCCATCTCCTTGAAACTGAGCTCTTGAGGTAACTTTGGCAACATATGGCCAGTATAACGTGCATGTTCATTGCTTCCCAACCTACGTACCAACAATCGAGTCTTCCACGCGTCGTCTTGGTTACAGAATTCTGTTCTAAATGTATCTTCCCAACGCTTGAACCACGTGAGAAAAGTATTTCCACTTTCGGGATCATAGATGAACTCTGGGATGCTGCTAGCAGCTCCATCACAAGACGTGCTTGAAATAACATGTGAACTCGAGCTGTGGATGTTGAACTGTTGAGTCAGTCTCCAACAACCTCATTTGTGCACCAAGTTGTGCTTGCTGTTGTTGTAAGATTCGGTTAAGCTAGTCATCTGATGTGGGCATCTTGGATTTGTTTTCCTTTTTCCCCGTCGCCATTGTTATAATCTCTTTCTTACGGTTATGACCCAGCTATTCCTATTGCTTAGTATTCTCGGACACCGATTCACTCGACAAGTCCCCAAATCAGAACACGATTGAACAGGAAAGAGATTATATTCCAAATTACAAGGTTACATGGAAGTAAGAAGCACAATAGGAAAAACGTTTATTTATTTATTATTTTATTTTAGCACATAGATATTGGTACAAGGAGGCACCAAATGCATATGCGCTACACAAATCTCATTCAATATGTGTGAGGGCTGTGATACTGCCCAGGTCCCCAAACCGAAGCAGGTGGTTTTCTTAGGGGGCCACACCCGGAGCCTTCGACCTGAAGGTCTAATCCACAAGGCAGTGGAGCATCGTAAGGAGATGCAGTCCCATGGTAGCTGGTTACCAACGATTGGTTCATACGCCATTTGTTCCCTCAGGACACTGGAGCTCATGTGCACCATTGGTTTAGAATCCGGTTAAAGCGCCAGACATTCGCTTTTCGTCCTCTCATTTTCGTAAACAACACCCCTGCCACGAAAAGGCAGTGAGTAGAACTTCTCTGGCAGAGGCTATATACACGTGGCCATGTGAGAGCATTTCGAGAGGGAGAGCGGACTCTCCTCACTCTCGGCCGTACCAGGGCATTTGGGGGCATGGGAAGATTCTAGAGTATTCTCCAAGTATCGGCTAGTGCTGATTGGTTAAGAATTAGCCAATCAGCGTGCATTAAAGCAATCATGCATTGAGCATGCTTTAATCCAGTCTATGTCCCGCTAACAGACTTCATGTTTACAGAAAAATATCCAGTTCTTTCAGTTTATTGAGATAAGTTCTCGTAGCAATCATTACTGTCTCAATTATTTATGTTTCGAAGGATTTGTTTTGGGGCGGTAAGGTTAAAAGCAACAAATTAAATTCTGAGGGGTGTGGATATACATTACTGATTGTACTGGAGTGTGGTGAAGGTAAAATCTCTGCCTCAGACGACCAGTATCTGAGTTGACATTGCCTTATAAAGATGGTAGGAAAAGGTTTAAAAAGATCAGTCCTCAAATTAACACACCATGACGCTCCGCGAATTTCCATCGCCGGTGGTAAGTACAGGGCCAACAGAGAATGGTACTCACAAAAAGGACATGTGACCACCGACCTGAAGCAGTTGTTCTTGGTCTTTGTGATCATACTCGCATGTCGGCGAGATTACTACCAGTCCAGTTTCTTTTCAAGGTGTCTAAGGACAAAGTATCTTTCGATAGTGTGGGTATCCGGAAAGTGACGACTGCTGTCATACGTCTGATAGCACTGTGGATTACTTTGAGTGGTCAATTGTGTGTTTGTCTTTGTATGTTGTTTTTTATAACTGCAATAAAAGAAATTCATAGATTTTTGAATATTTGACCGCTGATCTTGAATAAGGGTGAGCATAGTTTCGTGGTGGCCTACTCAAATGTTTGAATCGTTAATGTTTCAACTGTACAAATATTTTGGAGTCTAAGCACTCTATATACGATGGATGGGAGTTTGATAATTGAATACGAGTGATAGCCACAGACTGTTATGAACACAAAATATGTTCTGACTAATTACAATCTAAAATTACATCAATGAGATGTTTACTGTAACATTCCACAATTGGTTCTGAGACTTTCTCGCTGTACCACAATTTATAATATTCAATAAATGTGATTGTATCATTATGTCAATCAGTTAGTCAAACTGAAGTATAACATTAAACAAATGTCTATGTCAACAACAGTTACTACACCAGTAGATTAAACCTATTTTAATAAATTACAAGTTTATGTAACTGGCTTGTGATTATGTTATTTGTATTAAAACTTTAGTGAGTTTTCGTTCAATTTACGCAGACCAAAGTAACTGGAACACAGGATTCGAGCCTACAACCTCTGATTAAATCATAATTCTTTATTTTGTTGTTTTATAAATATAATAAACCCTACTTTATTCATTAAAGAGGAAGAATGTATTTGTAAAATCTCAGTGGAAGAATTTGAAGTAAATCCAACCTTTCGCCTAGCAATCTGGTCCAAGCTTTTTCAAGGAAAATATAATATAATATAAAGCTTGGACCAGATTGCCTGGCGAAAGGTTGGATTTACTTCAAATTCTTTCACTAAGATTTTACAAATACATTTTTTCTCTTTAATGTTTCACATTAACTTGGCGCCCAAATGCTGTGAAACTATTCGTCCCTACTTTATTCAGTTTAAATTCTCAAAGTTTATTTCTAATTGAATTATTATTTCAAAATAGAAAACATCTATATTTTCTCAATGGAAAACGGAAGAAATACTAATCTTCGAAGTCTTGTTCGACCCGTTTCACCATTATCCAGATGGCAAAAACCACCACTTCCAATTGATACTGCTGATGACGATGATGATGAAATAAGAAGAGGTGGTGTTGATCGTAAACGTTTAGATCGTCGAAGTAGAAGTCGTTCCCCAGCGTTGTTTTCTTCTGTACATCTTGCTTCAAGTGGACCTACTAGTGGTGTAGAGATACAGCCAAGTGAAGAAACTAGACGTATTATTGTACGTCGTCCTTTACAAGATACAAAAGAGGAAGTAGAAGATTATACAGAAAAACAGTCAAAATCAAAACCTAATGATTATTCACGATCGAATATTGATGATAATAAACGGCGTTTAAGAGATGAACGATCAAAGAAACTGATGCCACGACCTATTCTATTCAAAAACCGTCCTGTACCAATCACTGCTCCAAGTGGAATTGACCGGGAGAATACTTGTCCTATGCTGCTTCGTTTATTTTATTCCACAAACGCACGTCATTATTCATTGTCAGATTATAATAAACGTCGTACACCGGAAAATGAGATACAATTCAATACATGGTAAGTTGTTTGATTTAAACTAATTCGATTTTATGCTCAGGGTGTATGTTTAGCTTGTTTAACAATCGTACACAAAATAAAGTCGTGGAAACGTTTTCTGTGTAGAATCTAGGATGCAACAACTATCTTCCTTCTCCAAACTAAATTTTTTATATCTAGCAGTCCACTAGCCTTCCTCCTGTGTCCATTTTTAATATTTAGAACAGCATCCATAAAAGTCCTCGCAATTCAAGCATCGCCATCGTTTCACGCTGCATCGCCTCAGTGTTGCTATCAGCACCACCACTTCCAATTTTGGAGACAGTAGGTGATCCTAGAAGGTGGGGTACACCATGTTTCATAGGTTGAGAGGGTTTGTGATCGAATTCGGTGACCGAATCACCCTTGATTTCTTTAGAATCAAAGTTTGTGTGACGTAATTTCGGTCGTTTATTTTACAGATCAAAGAAATTGCAATTTTGATCAAATGATAGTTTAATGAACGAAGCCTTGGTTAAGGTGAACCAAATAATTGTATCATGGAACCTCACCCACTGCATTTGTAAAATACAGGAGTAATGCATTATTTGCACATCTTTGAGTCGTCCCTCCATACTCCACCGTTCTTCCTTTCCTGTTGTGATTTCAATTGCTTTCTGTTTTATATTCTCTTCTCATTTTCCTCTTCTTTCCGTAAGAATCCTATTTTCAATTCCCTATACATACTACTTCTATCTGTCCGTATAAGTAGCACACATCACAATAGCAGTTAAATAATTTATAGTGCACCAAGGTTAAACTGACTCATATCCGTTCAAATGGAATCGGTCTTTTGATTTTTTGTTTCCGTGAGTAATACCCTTAATGAGCTAGTTTGTATTTTTACTTAGTCATGTAAAAACTTGCACTGTACTCACAGTAGTCACAGATATATCCTTAATATAATACTCTCTGTTGTGCTAGATTGTGCATTAGATTCGTTAGTATGACACACATGCTATCGAATAAGTTCCAAATATTCCCCTGGCTTCCTAATATATATTATTACCAATGTCTAAGTTATCCCGTCAGTATGAAGGACTAAAGTTTGATTAGCCTTTGTTGACATGCTGTTATCTTAGACAGATTGCCTTGATATCATTCTTATTGCCCCCCGGGTGCCTTGGTACTGCTAATGGTGGGGAGACTGTACTCATCCTCGAAATGCTCTCATATCGCCGCGCGTATATAGCTACTGTCAGAGAAGTCCTACTCAATGCCTTCTCGCAGCAGAAATGTTGTTTACAAAATTGACAGGACAAAAGCGAATATCCAGTGCCTTAACCTGGTTGATGGATGTGGAGGATCCACCTAGGGAAATTGGAATACTGTAATTCGAAACCAACTGTTCATATGGGCTCCTGAGGGAAAAATGGCATATAAAGCAATTGTTGATCACCGGCTACTATGGGACTTCATCTCCTTACGTTGTACTGCCTTGTGGACTAGACCTTCAGGTCAAAGGCTCGGGGTGTATCCCCCTAAGAAAATCATCCATTTCGTTTTGGCGCCCGGACAGCAATCCAGCCCTCACAAATTGCATGGTGAAGTGTGGCATATATATTTGGTGCCCTCTTGTACCAATGTTTATGTTTGAATAAATAAATAACTTATGGTGAATATATCGGTTGTGGCTGGCAGTGGTTATATCGACACAATCCGCACAGAGTTCAGATTTACTAAAAAAGACTGGTCGAAACTCAGGTCTCACTACCATAGACGAGGTAATTTAAACCTTACTTGTAATGACACAAATATCATCGCCGTTGCACAAGATGCTGGCTATCTGAACTCAAAGGATCAGCGAGGGACACGTTTGGTGTTTTGAGCTCAAAGTACTACCTTTGAGTCGTCGTATGAACACCATCAACATTTAAATGGATATGCATGCAGCTTAAAATTCCAAAATAGGACAAAACAGATCCTGAATTTCGTTGCTAATCACATTCCATCTAGGCTATTAGCGAGCTGTTAATTTACGATCCAATTAAATGCAAGAGCCACCAGGAAATACTGCGATAAAAAGCTATCTACTTGTGAGTAGTACAGTTATAATACACGACTTTCCCATTGTGAACCATGTTGTTTCAACTCTGTACTGCTCTGACCAGCGGTCAGTGATTTCGTAAATTCGTTTTGTTTGAAGTCCCAATTCACCTTTGGCGTGCAACATGTGAAAGGACGAAGAGCGAATGTCTGGCGCTTTAACCGGGTTGATGGACATAGAGAGTCCACCTAGGGGAGTTGGAAAACCCTGATTCCAATCCAATGGGGCAAATGCGCTCCAGTATCCTGAGGGAACAAATGGCGTACGAACCAATCGTTGGCCACCGGCTACCATGGGATTGCATCTCCTGACGTTGCTCAACTGCCTTGTGGATCAGATCTTCAGATCGAAGGCTCTGGGTGTGACCCCTAAGAAAACCATTTGCTTCGGTTTGGGGACCTGGGCAGTATCACAGCCCTCACACATATTGAATGAGATTTGTGTAGCACATATGTATTTGGTACCTCCTTGTACCAATATCTACGTGCTTCATAGTTCATTACGATATCATTCTGTACACCATTTAGTTGATCTAATATCTCATATAGCTAATCTATCATCCATGTATCTCCTACACAAAATTAATTCGCTGATGAGGTCATATAAAATGCCTTGACAAGTATATGTGTGACCAGATCGTTCAAAATGTATAGCGCAAATAAGTCATCTTTGTCAGCTCAACTCCGTCTTCTCATTGCTCTATCGAGCTTTCTACTGATTCATTATTTTCGTTAGTTCATTGAAATCGATATATTTGTTATGTCAGGTCGTTAATCTGCTATCTTGATATGTTGTTTGAATTCTCCTATCTTAATGATCCAACCAATCTATAATAACTAAAATGCTCTTTTCTTCAAGTTCTACTATCCGTAACAGGTCAGTTGGGGAACGCATAGAATAAGTAACCTCATTGTATAAGCAGTCGTGAAGCGATAATGTCACACATACCTCTTGTAACACTTCTAGATCTCCTTGTTGTTATCCAGTTGAAGGAAATCTCTGAAATCGTCTAGGGCTATGTTTCACGCTAATTAGTCTTCGTCAACAAGATATTTTTTTAATCTAGTGGAAACTGACACTTTTCGCGTGTGGAACGTTGTCACTTGGTTAGATTAGCTGTAATTGTTAATTGGTGAAAATCATACTTAGGTTGTACAGCATTACTATCGTTCGTTGGATGTTGTCAGGACGTTTTTCTGACCATTTTAAGCAACAATGTAAGCATGCTTGCAATGCGATTCTCTCCCTCCAAATGCAAAATGTTGCTTCAGGATCGCGTCAGCCCTTGAATTAATGATAGAGAATGAAGTAGTTGGACATATCGACCGCTTCATTTATCTTGAGAGTCACATCAGTCCTGATGGTCTGGTGTCTGACGAATTCTCAGCAAGGTATCGGTGGGCCTAGTTGTTTCTTGGCAACTTGCATCACTCGTGACGTTAAGGATGGCAAACGGATTGTTTGGGTAATAGATGTTTATCAGCTGGGGTGGTTGGGACATGTATTACGTATGCCTAGTCACCACCTACCTCGACAAACGATGTTACCTGGTGTAAAAGTAGGTTGCGAGAAAATAAGGGGCGACCAGACCAAAGCATGACATCATGAACTGAGCGATTTCAACAGGTGTAGACTGCCCAGTTCAGTACCACGTTATTATCGTGACCGTTTGTAAAAGACTTCGAATGACGTCGTTAAAACTCGTTTGTGACGTTCCATGTGCATCGGTCCGTCAAAATCCTAAGCTTCTGATTACCTCCTAATTCTTTTCAGTGTTTTAATTCACTTATTTTTATTTTCTTGAATAATATCCGATGTCTAATTTTTCCTGTTACCACTGATGCTGTTACTACCCCTACTATTATGGGATTTGGTCTGAAAATTTGATCTCTCTGTGGTAATGAAGTATGGCGACCTGGATCGATGTACTAGGTTGTACGTTGTATTTGACTGATTTTATGACGTTCATCAACGGTAATATATATATATATATATATATATATATATATATATATATATATAATGATATGCCTTTCTTTTACTACGTTTTTTAGGATTGACGCAACGCTTGCAGAATTAGCTGATGAAGTACGTAATGTTGTGCCCATAGCTAGACGTCGTGGTACACGTATGCATTTTGCAATAGTCTATCCGGATAGTCGTGGTACTTATGGACGTCGTCAATTAGGTGTTGTTATTACTGGTTATGGATTAAACTCTTGTGAATTTGATAATAATTCTGCTGATACAACAACAAATCGTAATAATAATAATAATATTCAGAGACCTTCTAATTTGATTGACGACTCATCAGTAACTCTGTTGTCGAAAAAATTCCAGGTAATTAGATTATCCAGTTGTTTTTTTTAAGGTTTACACTAGCTAGTTTATATCCTAATGACCTGGTAGTTATAAATGTCATTTGATTTTCGCAACTACCATGGTATCAGCTTTTAACCTCTTCGGTTCAGGCTGCAAATAATTTCGCCTCTTCCTTCACACATTTAGGCTCAAATGTGATATGATTTCCCTTCGATATGGCCACTTGATACGATTATTAATTTATTGAGTCGCTCCCGTTGTCTTTTCGTCCAAGTACACTGACACTGGTAATCACAAAACTATCTGTTTCAGTCAGCATACGAATACGCCCGGTTGATTTACTCTCGATATTTTATTATTCAAAACTCACAATAATGTGCATTAATTACAAGATCACTGCACATAATACATCGTAAACCCCAATCTCTACATATCAAAGTAACAGTTGTGTAATAAATTATCTGTCATCTATGAATCAGCTTCTAAAACAGTGAAATCTTCCATGTATCAGGCTTATATACTCTACTATATTCTTTTACAGTTCTTATTTAAGGACTAGTTATACTACATGTTTCCTTAAATTAATATAGGCTTTCGTTGCTGTGTGTTACCGACGTGTTTGTAACGTTTATTTGCTCACGGGATAAGTATATCTATGTGTATGCTAGGGACTCATAAGTAAAAAAGGTATGTGTTACCTGTATGCAAGTAGATTATAGTTGCCCTTGGTGCGATACCCGCACCCCAGCACCTGTGAGTAACGATTTACTCACAAAAAAATCCACGCGGTGGGTTTTTAAGCCTTGCGAAACGGAAACCATTTCCAGAAAAGCCGATTGCCTACATCCAATAAGGCTTAACTATCCTGAACATGGCTGAAACACCATACTACCACTAAATAAGGTATTCGATCGATACGCTATATGCAGACTGGATGGTTTTACACTACGTACATGATTCACAACTAAATATAGAGAAGCAGAATGAAAATTAGACATTACTTTATCTAACACAATTACAAATAGTGAACACTCTGTGTGTTCAGAATAGAAATCAATAATAGTAAGTACATTGAGCATCTTTCTGTTTACTGACGGTGGCCAATCACATCTTACTTTTACTAACAACACATCAATATTTCAATATAGATTCAAATTCTTTCCTTTCTTGAGAATCCATTCAAAGTAGAATGAATGTGTAGATTAGTTGTTTTGTTAAATAACTTTGGTGACATTGGATTACATACTATATGAAATCAATTATAAAATGTGATCATTGACCTTTTTTTTATTACATATTTACAAAGTCAATATTAAATAAAGATTGTAATAAATGATTCTAGTTATGTTCAGTAAAATCTCTATATCTGAATGTAAGTGATATGTACTACTTGGTACTTACAATTTAGAAAGGACAAATACTGAAAACAAGGTCAAGCTATTCTCGTTTAGGTAACATTACTATTCTGGAATAATCTTATTATTTATTATTAACCCCATTGAATTGGACTTATCTAGTTGCGTCTCTAGTTATGTAATAACTCATCTTTCTAAGTTCTGCATAATGGAATGACTTCAGCTAAACAAACATTCAAGACAAGGAAGCACTGATGAGCATTATACCATTCATTAGTGGTACACATTCACAATCTTATCAACAATTTAAGCTTTGTGGTGATTTCTTAACATACAGTTGACCAAGTTGACATCCAGTGGTTTACATTCCTGTTATGACCTTGAGTCCCTTTTATCCCGTCGATACTTTGCTATGACTTGACCTTGATCTGTCTAGTCTAGATTATAACCTTGGCGCGATAGACTGATCGGCTTAACCTTGAGTCTGGTACGCGTGAGTTCGAGATGGGGTAGAGACAGAACTATTCTAGAACCTGATTGGTTGGCAAGCACGCAACTGAGAAAAGACAAGACAGTTGGAACACTCTAAATTCGGATTAATGCAAAAATGTACATGAATAAATAAGTGAATATCCCTGACCACGACGTACGATGATTTGGAAAAATACAATAATGCCCAAAACTGGGAATTAGGGTAGAAAATAAGATGCAAAATATTATGTTTAAATTACAATAGTTTCGGAACAAAAAAGGGTATGGCAGTAAATGTTACATAGAACGAAAGCTCATGTTATGTAGAATAAAATAGAGACAAAAATAAATGTCAGTATTTTACAAGCCTTGAATAAAATGAAATAACATCCCAAGGAAATAGCTTTCGTAGTTGTCTGGGCTTCTTATTTCCCCGTTCACAACAATTCCCAACTTCATTTAATTCACAATATTCTATAACTTTCACTCATTATCACTGATGGTATTTGCCTGACACTTGATGTGGTGAAATAACTCCTCTGTTGACGATTACCTAATAGATTTCTGTAATTTACCTGTTGAAATTCGTGATTTGTATATACCATGGTACTTGTTATTTTAGGATATTATGAAGATTGTTCGATTTAATCGGCATTTTTAGCTAAAACATCATGTTTTACAGTTTATTCTAAAGAATAAAATCAATGACTTCAGATTAGAACACTTTTTAATTCATGGGAAATCCCTGATCAATTGAAAACACTGGATTGTCAGTTGTATTAATTATGTCATCTTTATGAATCCTGCTCCACTCGAACGATGTTGCCAGTAATTAAACTCATGTTGATTTATCGCTCTATGCTGAATCTAAAAACATTTACTTGGTGATTGAGATCAATAATCTAACAATTCATCAGAATTATTCATTGGATATAGTATACTATTGTTCATATTTTGATTAACCTAATTATACTCTAGTTGTTATTACTTTTTCTTCAGATTGGTGATTATGTGGATTGTGCAATTGTTGAATATACTCCAGGTTCTTTAGGTGGTTGGTCATCTGGGCGACGTCCACTTGGTCCACCACCACCATCAACAACAACTGGATCTGATCCACATGGTTCTGCACTTGAAGAAGCTCGAATGATATAGTCATTTCTGACAAATACAAAATATAATTTGTAAAATGTCTACTTTTATCTGTTTTTTTTTAAAATTTTTTCTTGTAAATAAAACATATGTTGGTTGTTTTACGCTTGTTTTAGTACTTGTTCTGAGTTTACGCGTTCTGTTTACAGTTAGAGTTGTTTCAACTTATTTGTTACAATTGATTAATCACTGGTTAGTGACCAAAGTCATGTTCATCTCGTCATTTAATCTAAGTGGTCATATTCGATCGAACGTACGGCAATATAATCACTCGTTTAGTGGATTTAGGATCATATGCACGTTGTTATCATGTTAGTTGGTTGGAAGTAGTCTTATGGGAAACTTTAGAGAGATGGGAAATCTATGACACATTAGTCAATATTGAATGATGGAAAAACGCTAGTGTTCTAGTTCCCTCGTAGGTTAGTCCCTACAGAATAGTGAAGCGGTTAATGCCTCAGACTACGGAAGTAAGCTATGCTGGCTAGAATATCACTTGCCTCTAGATTGTTGGTAAGTGACAACTAGCACGAGAGGTAGGTACAGGATTTCCTGCCAACTACTTCTGGCTACCTAATATGTTTAGATGTGGTTGGAAGATACAACAACTCTCCTGTGGTGAGCTCTGTTAGATCCACGTGATTATCACAACCAATTATCAAAGACGTTGGGTGACACGTCTCAGAATCCCTTACAATCGCGCACGTGCATTTACGTTCTCAGATTTTAGGTTTTTAGGTCCCACATAATCTTTTTATTTTACTAACTTATACTTTCTTGAGTCATATCTTCAATACTTAATCTTTTATAATGTCACTCTATTCACTACCTTGTAATTCGCTCTGACAATTTCGAATACATTCATTCTTTGTCTTTCTGAAATCATAAGTTCCTAGATTACCTAAAGGAAATTTCAGTCCACTAACTCGAATCGCACTATCGATCTTTAATCTTTATTGTCGCAATTCCTCTCACCAACTCTGCTACTATTTCATTTTCACTGGTTTTTTCATCTGGTGCTAATGTGATATGAAAGCTTGAACTGATGTTTACATGTGCCGGGTTGTCTCCTGCTTTTGACTGGCTGACGAAAGGTCCATAAGTCCGGGTGAAGAAGGTACACTGTTCCAGGATCGAAACTATAAATTAACCACTATTTTCAAAGACTTGTTCCTCTTATTTAATAGAATAAATCGCTGTCATTTGTATCGTTATTTCCGATACATTTATCGTACTTCGATTGCTTTGTTTTCGAATATATGCAGTACTAACATTCGGTTGTATGTGGGTGAAAATGTCAGGTTCTACAAGCTGTAAATTTAGTGATGTTAGGTAGAATTAAACTAACCAAGTTTAAATGAGCTACCGTCGGACGTTTGCACGCAATGATGGGTTTTGATAAGTATCCTATTAAAACCGACATTATAAAGACAAATGGGTTAAGATAAACTTGAATAACTGTTGAAATGGCAATGAAAAATTGATTAGTTTCTCATGGAAAATTTATATTGTCAAGGTATAGGGATGTTGAAGGTTAGGGATACTGACACATCCAATGAGAGCAATCAACATGTGTGTACGATTAAGAATGATCTATTTGGTACGTTTTTAATTCCTAATTGATCTTAACCAAAGATATCTATTGGAACCTTCAATATTCATGAAGCTTTTAGTGCAACAAAAGTAAATTCCTAGATAAACCATAGACGTTTAATGATAGCTTGAAGTAAACACGGTAGTGTGTTACGACGAATAAGTCTTGTAATTTATAGTTTTTCATGGAAGCCAACGTCACCAGGGATTTCAAAGCTGATTCACTTTTTATATGTATCAATGCCAAGGTTAGACCTGATCGTTTGAAATAAATTGAGTATCGGGTAGAGAGTTCATAATAAATATATTGTTTGTTATATCATGATAAATAGAGTGATTCTATCCAATTCGGTCATTTATTTGCCCTGAAGAGGTGGCTCATACGAAGTTACGAAACGTCAGAAATGGAAGTTTTCTATTCATTCGTTTATGACTAAAAATATACTGATACACTTTTGTTTTACTTGAGAATGTATACTAATTAGTAGTATTAGCATAATTTACGATCACTAAATAGTTATCAATATCATGTTTGCGTGGACCTAAACGGTTGTCCAGTTCTTTCGACGAAGTTCCAGTGTGAAGACCAGTTCAAGTGACTTGATGTTGACTCCTGAACTCTAAATATAGTGCACACAATCTGAAAACTTTGGTGTGAGGGTTAAGATCGTACTTGGGGCAGTGTTCCATCAAGGCAGCAGATTCTGCTTGCTGGTGAGTACTGACGCGTTTGAAACCAAAGCCTAGAAATTCTTCCTAACTGTCTCCAGCTACAGAACACCAAAAATTAATTACATATGTTATCGACAATAACTTTAGAATAACTACTAATTGATCAGTGTAGAGAGTATAATGCAGCTCATTTGGATGAGTTAGTTTAGATAGAGTTTCCTGAGCTAGATAGTTTGAGAACGAACGGAGCTTGGCAACACGGGCGCGTCATGTGAGGTTTGAACCTAGTATCACTGCATAAGATATTGCCAACAATTATTAACACGACAGCCTGTACCGGCCCATATGGCAAATTATCGCATTTCTCTTTTGTTTCTTTCTTACCCCAGTTGAAAAGTAGTATGTCTGAAGAAGAAAAGTGGTGGCATCCAAACAAATTACCACCAAGTGGTTACCAATCCAATATTTCTCAAGATCATGATAGAAAATCATTTTATCCATTCAATAGTGAAATGGGTTATAGAATTTTCAAAAGAATAATAGAAATGAAGCGAACAGGTATGGAACAGCAAAACAATGAAGAAAATGCATATCGTCCAAAATATGTTAATCAAATGAATAAAGATGGGCGTTTTCTTTTGAAGCAAGGTGTTTGTTCGCAGAAACCTAACTCAAGTAAGTATTTGATCTTATATGTAAAGATTGAACTGTATAATAATGTTAAAGACTCAATGATTACTTGTTTGAAGTGTGCAGAATATTCCGAATCAATGTTTAGTAATGTTAGGTAGTGTAGCACAAACTGTTCGGAGTAGCTGAAATGTATTCATTCACTAACGTCCGAGGAATCTTGAGTTATGTATCAGCCAAACTTTCATGTTTTTAGTTTCTTCGGGTATATATTCGAGAATTTGTATTTTTCTGTTGTTTATATTAAGAACTACAGCCAGTCGGTCGGGATGCAGCTCCCAAATACCACTGTTAGTCACTTTCTAAATGAGTCAAGACTTGTAACCGTTATGTTTTGAGAAAAGTTGATGTGCTGTGACTAGAAATTCTAACTGATTGTACGCACTGTATCGCCAGTTGAACTGGTAAGCTATTTGAAAAATTTACACACTGATCAAAGAACAGTAATCAATGCCTAAACGATTATCAGTCCCTTTCAACCCAGTAGTCGATAATAAGTCAGATTAACTCTCTGTTGTACCTAACTCGATCATGACTCATGACTTATACAATAATATATTTGAAGTGTTTGATCACCCAAAACACCGAATAAGAAAACTCACTTTAAATCTAATAATAATATAAGTAGAATAGTGTGGAGCAAACAGTATATAACTAGTTAGCAATAATGAGGGGAAGGTGAAAGGTATCACAATGGTCAATGGGTCTCATGGAAGTTTACAACACGGGAGGTCAGAAATTCTGTGATAACGTTATTTACTAATTATACAACAAAAGTACAAATAATTATGATTCGAATATTAACTCCGAGAGTTTCAACTTTGCGAATATTCGTTCTGTTATAAAAGTAATTGAAAGGCGATATCTGAGCGTTCCCCTTACGATGCACATTAACTAATAGAGGCTAATCAAGAGATGGTAGAGAGTTTTAGCTCAAGTGAATGATCTTCATTCTGTTTTTTTCTCTATGATGGATGATTTAATCCTCAAGCTTTCATTTTTCATCTCAACAACATCAACAAGATTATTAAGGCCCTTTTTCATAAGTGTAGCACATAAACCAGCAAAATTACTTGAATCAATCTTATGTAAATCAAATGATAAACTGACAAATGAAGAAAAGCCAAATAATATCTCATGACAGGTTAAAGATTAGTACTGACTAACCAGGATCAAGGTGGACAGAACAAGCCGTCAGTCATACGCGGAGAAATTCGAATACATAATTTTTACCTGAAGTTTGTCCTTATGAATTTGTTTAGAAGAACGATGGAAGCTTCCCAAATGAATCATTCAGTTCTGAGAACAAAACGTCCCCAACAGAGGCTAACCATTCTCAGTTCATAGAATTACCAAAGAATTACGTTCACATAATTTTATACCCAGTGAGTATGCCAGTAGGCTGTCGGACTCAGTAAATTGATATAAAATTTGTTGGTCTCTGAAGTGATATGTATTAGATTCGAGTTTCAAGATTAACATCAACATTGGAAATGAAGTGCATCCAGCCGACAAGTGCCGAAAATGAAGCAAACACATCCTGGATTCCACTACTAGTTATATTAAGGGCCAAATGGGGACTCAAATACTGATTAATGGCAAACAAGAAGACTAAGTAATAGGGAATACGATTTCCGAATTGCTTTACTGTAATGATAAGGTTCATAGTGGTTAGAATCAAAGAACTAACTGGTTAAGTGTTCATTTAGGTGGTTGCAATTCTTGTTCTTTCCAACTCCTAATCCTAGATCTTAATTCAGTTCATAACCTTAGCCATTTTTCATACTTTTATTTAATAAATTACTGATTTATATCACCTGCATTACAACTATTGTATGAATTCTAATCAATAGGTTTGCACCCGCCAATATGATTAACATCACGATTCACTGATTTAACGTGCAGTAATTGCGTTAAGGTCTTCTCAACCTTATCGTTGAGCTCACCTTCTCCTAAAGTAACCAGTTTTTCATTTTTCTGTGGGCTACTCCTTGGTATAACTAATACATTCCTGAACTATCCCAATCAATGAAGATTTGATGCCATACCTATCGACTTGCCATTTGTACTTAGTACCCTTCCCATAACTTAATTCTTACTTATTATGAATTGCTCAAGATCTACTCAAATCTTGCATTTCATAAGCCATATTTGGCAGTGTTAGAGTAATAGTAATGGAGCTTCCAGTCTCGATAAAATGATATTTTCAAATCACATTGTGATTTTAGTTACTTGCGTCTACTAATATAAGTAGTATATAACACCAAACACTAATGAAAGGTATAGCAGAAGAAAACTGGAAACATCGAATCGAATAGAATAGGAACATAAATTAATTATTATGGGCTGACAGAAGCAGTTGAATTGTTTGTAATCGATGGAGACACAGGAGAGCAATATTGTTTTTTTTCGATTCTCTTTAGGTAGGCTCATTTATCAATTTAATGCATAACTGGATATACAACCGTTTATGTTCTTGATAAGTATAATACTAGTCAACATTGAAGTGAACTTTTGTTGATCTTATCTCCGTTGATTTGCAATATTGTACTATCATCATCTGAAATGGTTGAATTCAACAAGTCACTGTTTGTCAACAGTATTTCGTTGAAATGTTTAGACTGTCTGTAAAGATCTTTCACACGCTTTCTGTTTGCACCATAGTTGGTATAGGTACGAGTATATGTAGCAGAAATTGATCATTTTGAATCAAGATATAGTGGATACGTGTTTTATTATAGTTTAACATCTATTAAAATCATTGAACACTTCAGTAAATATAAGACTGAACCCTTGATATTTAGATCTCATGTATCCACTAGTAATTGGATCCATGACAGCTACCACAGTTCTAATAAGATGCCTTGATCCCTAGTGTTTCGTCTTAGGGCAACATTTAATAACAACCACTAGAGTCCGTTGACCTATTTACAAAATTTAATTTAATCTTTTCCATCATTATGCGAATTAATAACTTGGCTTCAGTCATTTGTTGTATTCTACTGAAATACCACAAATGATTATCCACTCCATATTAGTTGTTAAGTAGTTCTTGAATTGTGCTTTGATTCGTAATTTTACAAAACCAGTTTTTATCAGTATAATAATTTGTGTAAATTATAGTATTTTCAACATTGAATTCACGAGCCGATCGAAGTGAAGTCGAATCTGTGTCGAATGTGAGACATTTGTCCACCTCAAACAATGGGTGAAGGGTTGTGAAATACCGTGTATTGGTTTAGGTTAGACGTTAACACAATTGGATGCCGACTCAGTGATCTAGAGTTTGTGAGTTAGCCCGCGAAACCAAAGGACCTGGCTTCGAGTCCTCGCATGCGGGACCGCGGATCCGCACTTTTGAGGAGTCGCTTACTGGGACGAAACGACCATCCAATGCTCCAGGTTTTCACTGTTTGTCTAGCTTAGTTCGACTTGTGAATTCAACAGTGAAAACATGGTCTATTTCTGAAAAGCACAACATCCCATTTATTGTTTACTGTTTTGTTTATGTTCATAGTTTCGTCGAATTCTGCATTCAATCAATTTAGATCCATAGAAATTATGCCAGAATTTCATTTAAATCTAAAATGTGATATCGATGATCTAGAGGAATCGTAGTTTGTATGGTATTTGTTTTGTGAAAGCAAATCCATGTCACATTATGTTGAATATATTGTGTTTGGTTAAATAAATATTCATTAGAAAGTATTTCTTGTTTCTTTCTTCTTCAAATCCATTGACAAATGTAACCAGGCTCAGAAGTAATTCAAATTCATAAAATTATTCACTTGACTAAGCCACGAATCGGATTTAAAATAACAACTCTTAAACTTGAGCGACAAATTAGAAACGGTACCACATTTATTTATTGCCTTATGAAGAAGTAAGCAAAACCGTACTACCTACTTACTGTTGTAGTTCGTGGATAAGCATAAGTTGCCCACCAACATTCTCCATCCAACTCTTTCCTAAGCAATCATTTCCAGTTGTTATTTATCCTTTTCATGTCTGCTAAGAATTCCGGACATAGTATACTATTCGGCCTTCCACTTCTCCTTTCGCATCAGGAAGTTCAAGTTTGTGCCTCCCTCATGATGAAGTTTGTTGAGTTCCTCAAAGTTTATCCAATCCACTTCCAAAGTCTTTTCGTAATTTCCTCTTCAAATAGAAATTGGTTTGTTCTGTCTCATAGTAGGCTGTTAGTCAAAGTATCCGGCCAACGGATATTGAGTATCACGAGTAGACAATTGTTTTGAAATACTTTATGTTTTCGATGATGGTTGTAGTAGTCTACCATGTTTCAGCTCCGTACAGTAGAACTATCTTGACTTTAATATTGAGGAATCTCACTGTACTAAATACAAATTTACGTTTACTTATAAAACAAAAGTGATGGTAAGACCATTGATATTTTCATGTTAATGAGTTGGACACATCTATGAATAAATTATTTCATAAAATCAGGTAATTCTTACGATGAATTTCGATATTAACGATGATTACCATTGAACTGTATTGTGCCTATCAGTTATCAAGTAAAGTGCTGTGTGCTGCTTATATCGACATGAGTAGTATATGTCGCGAGTCAGGAATAGAATGTCTGACAGCAGAAGATTGAGAAGATCGAGAGGGGAAGAACGAAAGCAGAATAAAATTGGTATGGAAATGCAGGAATATTGAAGTCTGAGCCGATTGACTGATATTTGCAAAAGGAATAGTTAAGTTTGGGAAGATCGAATAATATTTTACGATTAACGTATTTACTGTATGTGAGTCTCATGTGAGACGTGTCAGATGGATGTATCTAGATCCCTGGTACGTGCAGCCGACGAGTCCCAAATAGGATGAAATGCATGTCAAGGATTCCACTGATAGCCACCATCTATCTTTACTTATAATGCATATGACTTAAGGCATTATCGAGGCAGTCCGCACAGGATGCACATATGCCAATAAGAGACTGATCAATTGCAATCGTAAACTAGAACGGGAAGATACAAACAAGCAATACCAATTAAATTCAGTACAAAAATAGTTAAATTTAAAAAAATGTTTTGAGACTGAGAAAATGATTTCTCAAAGACTAAAGATTGTGTCGGATTGTATATTTATCATAGTGATTCAATGAAGCTGGAATCACGTTGGGTCTAGATGATTCAAAAAATTTCTCACTCATTTTATCGCTTGCTACTATTGTAGTGAACAAGAATACAGGAGGAGACAACCAAATGTACTTGAACACAAGATTACAAAATCTTTTTTTAAAATCCAGCAACCATGCGGTAAAGTGTTCGTTTGAAAAATGCCAATCAATCGTCTCAGACTTGATTGTTTCTTTGTTTCCACACCAATCATTGTCTGTCCTCGTTCTCATTTCTTTAAACTCATTAACCTTCTGTCACCAGGCATTTTACTTTCAACTGGTGATATATACTACTTATATCTGTCTACATCAGTAGCAGACACCATAAGGCAATCAATAATTCCTTTTCAAATCAGAATTAAAGTGGTTTCAGAAAAACGTTATCTTGGAGTAAACGAGTCATTCGATATACATCATCGTTGATTTCTAAATTTGTCTTTAATTATTCAACATTTGGAATTAACAAAATTGTCGTTCCCACTTCATAGTGTCTCATTAATCCATCCGATTACTGATCGAACTTAATGAATCTACTAATCTTTAATTATTGGCATTATCTTATGGGAACAATTTGTTAGGTAACTCAAATTATAAAAGCAGACCTAAAAGATGTATGAATCAACTCAGAAACTTTTCAAAGCATTTAGCCAATCAACAAAAAAGCACATGAAGTGATGTAAAAAATATGTGGTAGTGTTCAAAATAAAATTTATCTCCATATTGTCTGATACCATTCTTGACATGAATTCTACAATATCTACAAAACAATATAAAAACAAATCCCATCTCATTGCCTTTCTTTAGTAAGGCAAATGATAGTTGCATAGTACTTCACTTCGTGATCTTGGGCATTTTCTCCCAAACATTTAATGGTCTTAAATGCTTATTAGTGTTATAACTTGTGTCTCGAGTGCCCTGCTAATATATAACGTAATGAGACCGCCAATTAGGGAGCAGTGAATTATCGGTCGGATCAATGACGCATAAAACCCGTGTGAGCAGTCTAGAGTACTCATCGGCCTTGTTTCCTGCCTAGTCCAGCCAGTTTAGTCCAGAACATTAATCTGAGCCTCTGCAATATGAATCATGTGTTTCAAAAATACTGGGTTTATATACAACAGCCAAACAGACCACATCGTACCATAAAATAGAAAATAGCATTTGTACAAGATTTAGTTCAATGTAGCTGTGACTGTTGGAGGTAGTAATTATAGGCAGGGCATAACTCAAGAATGGTAAATCGTATAATAACAGTTCATTGGTCAAAATAAAGCTCATAATAAGAGGGACATGAGTATGAACATACTAGTTGTCAAACAATTATACGATAAAAATATACGCATAGTATTGGTCCATAAATGGATCCCAAAAATTATCATTCATTATGGTTATCGGGACATAACAATGAGTGAATTCCTTAACAGGGCTAAAACACCAGTGAAAACATGGAAGTGACGGACAGTCGTTTCGTTCTAATATGAAATTCTTTAACTGTACGCACTTACGATCACACGTGTGGAATTTTAATCTGGGGCCTTTGGTCTCTAACGCAAACGCTTATTCGATAAAGCACTATCCTGAATAACTCCGCTTGTAGCTTTTCTGGAATTACTGCCGGTCCCAAGCGTGAGCAAAACAGAAGGAGGGTTGGTCATGGGGTTGTCGATCTCGTAAAAAAAATCTTGCTAAAAGAACGCCAACCAGATTGAATAAATTAAAACATTTAAATTCTGTCCTGGTAGTTTAAAGGAGAGTTATGACGCTTCATGATGATAATCGAGATTCTTCGGCAGTCACGAAGCCGATGTCCTCTTCTGACAACCAGAGCAACAATGTTTACGGGTACGTGGAACGTCCGGACAATGCGGTAGACCGGGAATACCAGGCGAACAGCAACGGAAATGAGGAAATACAACTTGGAAGTACTGGGAATCAGCGAAACCCATTAGACCCAAGCTGGACAGAAAAGGCTAGATGCGGAAGAGATGCTGTTATACTCCGGTCACGAAGAGGAAGATGCTCCACACACTCAGGGAGTTGCTCTAATGCTGTCCAAAGTAACACGAAATGCACTTGTAGGATGGAAATCTCACGAATCCAGAATCATCAAAGCATCATTCCAAACAAAGAAGGAGGGGATCACAATGAATATTTTCCAATGTTGTGCACCCACAAATGACAGCAACGACGACATTAAAGACCGATTCTACAAGCGGCTGCAATCAATCATAGAGAAGTGCACGAAAATGGACCTCACCATTCTGATAGGAGATCTAAACGCCAGAGTCAGAATAGACAACACTGGATATGAAGATATCATGAGACGACATGGACCAGGAGAGAAACGAAAATGGAGAAAGATTTGCAAATCTATGTGCATTCAACAAATTGGTCATAGGCGGCACAATATTTCCACTCAAGCGTATACACAAGGCTACATGGAACTCACCGGACCACACTACAGAGAACCAGATAGATCATTTTTGCATCAATGAAAATTCCGAAAGACAATGGAAGATGTGAGGACCAGGAGAGGAGCTGATATAGCTTTAGATCATCACCTGGTGGTGGCCAAGATGAAATTGAAGCTAAAGAACAACTGGACAACTGGAGGAACAACACTACCAATACAACTTTCCTTCGAGATACTAACAAATTCAACGAATTTAAGATAGCTCTCAACAACAGATTCCAAGCCTTACAGGATCTACTGAAGGTAGAAGAAACTACTATAGAGGACAACTGAGAAGGTATCGAAGAAGCATTAACTTCAACGTGTCAGGTGGTTCTGGCCTAAAGTAGCACCATCATGAGAATGGATCTCTATAGAAACGCTTGACAGGATCAAAGAAAGGAAGAACAAGAAGACAGCAATTAAATCAGCCGAACACGAGCAGAGAAATTCAAGGTAAAAGCTGAGTACACGGAAGCAAACAAACAAGTAAAGTAGAGCATTAGAGCCGACAAACAGAAATACGTGGAAGTACTAGTAACGACGGCAGAAAAAGCTGCTAGAGAAGGAAATATGAAACAGCTTCACGATACAACGAAGAAACTAGCAGAGAAATATGGTAAACTAGAGATACCGGTCAAAGACAAAGAAGGCAGGAAAATCACCGAAATTCAACAACAGCGTAACAGATGGGTAGAATACTTCGAGGAACTCCTGAATAGGCCAGCTCCAATGATTCCACCGGACATCGAAGCAGCACACATAGATCTTCCTATAGATGTCAATCCACCAACTACGGAAGAAATTAGAATGACCGTCAGACAAATCAAGAACGGGAAAGCAGCAGGACCCGACAACATACCAGCTGAAGCACTGAAATCAGACATCGAAGCAACCACAAGCATGCTTTATCTTCTATTCAAAAAGATTTGGGAGGAGGAACAAGTACCGATGAACTGGAAAGAAGGACACCTCGTCAAGATTCCAAAGAAAGGAGATCTGAGCAAATATGAAAACTACAGAGGCATTACACTACTGTCAATACCAAGGAAAGTCTTCAACAGATTGTTGCTGAACCAGATGAAGGATGCAGTAGACGCCCAACTTCGAGAT